TAAGGAGAGGTGGGCAGACTACAGATACCTGGCAAGTAAAATCCATGGCCCTTGGTGAAGAAGTGTGCACGAGCCTCCCACCCAGCTTGTGCAACAGAACCTGGCAGCCAGCCTTGAAGAGTCATGAGTGTGGTCTAGACAAAACCGCTGCAAACCGCTGGACATGAGATTCTGGGCTGCATGAGTCACCGAGAGGTGGGAGGTGACTGAAGCCATGGGCTAGGCAGCCTGGAGAGACGGGCAGCAGGAAGAGAGATGACCCACGGCCCAGCCTTAAGGAAGGTCTGGACAAGGGGATGAACTTCCTGCCACCTGCTACCATAGGCAACTGCTATCGACTTTGCTCATCTGTTCCTTGGCTGACTTCTCCAGAAGGGATTGTCTGGGTCTGCATGTCTCTCACTGAGAGATGGTTTTTTCCAGCGCCTGCTACACAGCTTGGAATGCAGTGTGGTCGTGAGACCCTTGGTTAGGCTGCCTCATCCAGTCTGCGGACAACCCGATTTGGTTTCTGATCCCCAATGTCCAGCAAAAAGTCCAAATGTCTAACGTGCGCCAAGGCCTCCCAAGGTGCTAAGCATCCCTTGGCATTCATTCCAGCCCATCTCTGAACATTCTGGCTAAGCTTTCTGATAGGCTCATCAGCACATGGGAGAATAGGTAGCTGTTCTAAACAGAGGAACCATGAGCCTCTCCCCACATGCCAGACCACACCAAATGGAGAGAAGCTTTGTAAACACTCATGGGGGGACCCTGTCCTCTTCCTCTCTCCTCCCCCGGGGTAAAGCTGTGGCCATGTTTACCCTGCCTGAGTCTCTCCCTCGGTGACCTCTGTTGATGAAACCAGGGGTGGAGACCCAGCTTCTGTAATTGGTCCAGAAGCTAAGCTGGGTTGCCAGGAACTCGGAAGTGGGGCATGAGAGACTGGCTGGGTTACCTTTAGACACTGGGCCAGTGATGTCATGTGACTGTGGGGGTAAAGCTACATTCTGGGGCCCATTCAATGAGAGGGGAGCGGAAGCAATAATCGGATGACACAGAGAGAAGGTGGACGAGGCAGTTGCCTAAGCTCCTGACTCCTCTGCAGCCTCAGCTCCCAGGCCAATGGGGGTCTAGCTGGACATGCTGTCCAGTTCCAAGGAGCACCTGTTTCTCTGAAACAAACTTCCTTTCCACAGGAACTGGCTTGAGAGCATTTTTATTGCCTACAGACTCCAGGATCATATAAGTTTTTCTTTTTTTTTTTTTTTATTGAGACAGGATCTCTCTATTATGTAGCCCAGGCGGGCCTCAAACTCACAGAAATGTACCTGCCTCTGCCTCCCTAGTACTGGGATTAAAGACCATGCCCAGTCTATGGAATTCTTAACACTACAACAAAGAGGCACATCATGAAGCAAACTGAGGACGTTTAATACTGGTTATGCTGTCGCTTTGCTTTTATTTTTATGGCGCTTGGGATTAGACTAAGATGCCAAGCTGTACTGGATCCCTACCTGAAGAATATTAAAACTTGAAAATGAAAGCTGGGTGCTGTGGCACATGCCTATGATCCCAGCACGTGGGAAGGCAAAGGCAGGCAGATCTCTGTGAATTCAAGGCTAGCCTGGTCTACGAAGTGAGTCCAGAACAGACAAGGCTACATGGAGAAACCCTGTCTCAAATAAAACAACTTGAACTTAACAAAACAAACAAACTTAATCAGATGAGGTAGCACACAACTGTAATCGCAACATTCAGGAGGCTGAGGTAGCCTGGAGCTATGTAGAAAAACCTTGCCTCAAAAAAGAAAGAAGGAAAGAAAGAAAGAAAAGAAAGTTTCAGAAAATCAAAATCACTGGGTGTGGAGATAGCAGTGCATACCTATGATCCCAGCATTAGTAGTTTGAGGCAGTGGGATCAATGAATTTCAGGCTAGCCTGGGCTAGACCCTCTCTAAAATACAAACACACACACACACACACACACACACACACACACCAAGGAAAAGGTAAATCTGACTTCATCAGAATTTCAACAATGCAATGTAAGACATGATATAGATTTTACAAAAACATTCTCCTAACCATGACCCTTCCCCCACCCATCAGCTCTGAAGACAAACACTGAGAGTGTGCACCATGAGGGCCTTTTATGGAGCACAGGTCAAAGCAGTCTCCTGGCTTCCTCATAAGTTTTCTTCCAACCAGTCCCTGAATTCAATCACTTGTGTTCTCCACTAAACAGGGTTCAACTAGTTTTGTAGAAGTAGAACTTCCTCCAGGAAGTTCCCATGTTGCACTGGTCCCCACTGGCTCCCTCCCCAGCCTGTTCCTTTGGCCTCAGACAGCACTGACTGCCTCTCACTGGACACTCAGGACCACTCCAGTCAGCCTCAAGGCAGGATCATTATGCCCTTGGTGCCCAGCACAGAAATGGCACAGGGAGCGTCACAGAACTCAGCAGCCAGCCAGGCCTGCCCTGTCACACATGGCAACTGCCTTACTTCCCCTGTGAAAGTCAATGTGGTGATGGCCATAGAGGGGTCCAGGACAGGAGGGGGCTCTCTGATGGAGAGTTTATTTTATTACCCCCTCGTGTTGCACAGAGACTCACAATGAAAAACAAACCGCCTTTAGCAATCCAGTGAAGGGAGGAATTACGAGACTCGGTTTCAGGATGAAATAACTGAGGTTTGGAGGAGTCCTAGAGGGAGGCCAGGCCACCGAACTTTGCAAGGAAGAGAGCAAGACCGAGGTCAAGGCAACGAGGGAGAAATGCCAGCTGCCCTGACTCCCTCACTCTGGGAGCTCAGGCAGTGTCTTACCCTGTCTGTTTATGGGTTTCTCCATCTTAAGTGGGAGAAATTCTAGCCCATTTCTCTCTTGTAGGGTCCTTCAGCCTGGGCATTCTTGATTCCTATGACCCAGTAGGGTTGAAAAAAAGGCCTGCAAGTCCTAGGACAGAGTCCCTAGTTACCTCTGGGACACCGATTAGAACTAGGAACCTTGATTTGAAAAGCAACTGCAGTTTCAAGCCTGGAGTTAGGTTAGTCATGCACAGTATTGAAGGGAGAAAAAAAAAAAAAACAAAACCCAGTATCAAACTACACATAAGCACAGTATAATAACAGAGAGGCACGACCACAAAACCAACCAGAAAACTCCAACAAAATCTAATTCAGAAGTTAGACTCAATTTTTGGGACTCTGGAATGCTGAAGAGAAAAGCTATGCTGGGGACCTCATGTCTTTCTGTTGCAAAATTAACAGCCTGCAAGTACATGGATCTGAAGGAGAGGAAAAAAAAAAAAAAGCTGGGTTTTGTCTGGTCTGGCCCCTCCTAGAGCCCATTAGATCTGCAGACCCATTTCCTCTCCCAACTTATGTAGCCAGGTAAGGTCAGTAAGAGGTACAGGCACTTACAGTCAGAGAGGTCCCTTCTGCTCTGATTCAACACTCTAATGGACAACCTGAAGAAGAGGATGATGGGTAGAATCTCTAAAGATGCTGAAGGGTCCTGAAATGTGGAGGCTCTCCTGATCACAGAGTTAAGGCCATGGGGTGGCATTTCCCTTTGAGCAACCAGAAAAATGCCAACGTTTGCGGATGGACCCAAACTAGGTTTGCTCAAGCAATCCTAGCCCTGTTGTATCTAATCTTCATAGAGACCTGTACTCCTGATCCAGGGGTGGGGTGCATCCCTGTAATGCCTCAGCTCTGGGCAGGGAGCGACAGGAGCATCAGAGGTGTGAGGCCAGCTTGGGTTACATAGGGAGACAGTTCCAAACAAAGAGCAACAGAAAAGAAGTAGTCCTACTGTGTGCACAAGACATGAAGCTCAAAGAGATCGGATCTCTACCTGAAGAGATCTGTCAATTAACTTGACAGAAATGTTACCATCTTCGCCCACATTGCTTCCACCATCCCACAGCTCTGTGAGGTAAACAATTATGCCCACTTTACAGATTAGGGCACATGGTCAGGCCCACCCATCTTGCAAACTGCAGGGGTAGGGTCTGGAAACAGGTCAACATCGCTTGAAATTGACAGTCCGCACAAGTCTCTGCCTCCTTACCAAGGAGGAAAGAGTTGAGACAGAGGGCCAGCTAGTCAGGGGAGAAGAGGAAGGGAGAGTTCCTAAGACCTCAGCTCTCAGTATTTCTGTGTAGCTTTGTATCTGCTACACAGTAGGTAGACACTTGATGGAGAAGGGTAGGAGTTAGAAACCCTGCTGAGGTCCAGAATGCCAATTCAGGGTATCCCATGGAAGAGGGCTGTGGCTACATTATCCTCCTCTCCTCTGGCGCCAGACCACAGGCTGTCCGCTCCAGAATATTCCTTGAGGATGAAAAGTTGCAGCGAGTTCAGAGAAGAGGAATGAACTCCAGTGAGCATGGGAATGGGGTGGGGCAGCCTACAAGGGCGAAAGAAAGAGCCTGGGACACTTTGCCTGGAAACACAAAGAGGGGAGGGAGGAGAGAGAGAGGAGTCTATAAACTTGCCGGCGACAGCCAAGGTGAACCCCAGCTCCTGGCGCCTTCCCATTCGCATTCATTCCACAAGGCGAGCCAAGTCTCAGAACCAGCGGCCAGAAGGAGGGGGCCTCCTCTCTCCTGCAGCCTGGGAAGAGGTAAGCTCAGGACTGAGCCTGCTTCTCAGAAAGGGCGTGACCTGGGGGGTTGCATATTTGTGGGGTTCCAGAAACGAAAACACAGAGCTGTAAGCCGCTGAGCAAATACACATATGATGGGCAGGTCGCCCAAAGTATTTGGGCGATGTGCCTCGACATGTGGAGTCTGTATCGAGGTGACCCCGAGGATTCCCCACAAAATCCCTCCGGTCCTCTCTCCCCGGCTCCACCGGGAGGACGCGGATGTTTGAGATGAGTGGGGTTCCCACAGATCTAGGAGGGGCCGGTTTCTGGAGCGCAGCGAAGAGCTACCGCAGCTCCGAGCACTCCTGCAAAAGTCAAAGCCAGGCCCCGAGGTGACGGGAGCCCCCTCCCGTCTCGGCCCCTCACCTCCTCCCGTGCCAGCGCCGCTCCCCGGCACCGGGGCATCTTGGCGGCGAAGGAAGCTGCCCCGGTTGGGGAGCTGAGGTCCTCCGCGGTGACGGCCAGGAACTCCGCGACACTGAGCTGCTCGGGCATGGCGGGCGCGAGGCAGAGACTCCGGGGCTGCCTGAGCCGGGCGCGGGGATCGCTGCGCTGAACCGAGCCGGGCTGGCTGCTCCGCGCAGGGCCTGCCTCACCGCCGGCAGCGTCCCAGTCGGGGCTTCTTCACCCGCTCCCTCTGGGTCCGCCCCGCCCCGCCCCTCACTCCTCTGCCACGCCCCGTCCGCCGGCCTTTCTCTCCGGCCACGCCCCTGACCCGCTCAGCTACCTTTCTGGCCACGCCCCCGACTCGCTATTTAATCCCCCCTGATCACGCCCACGGCCCACGCCCCTGACTCTCCGGCTACGCCCCAGCAACGCCCCTAACTCCCTGGACACTCCCTAGCCTCGCGTCGGCCCCGTTCCGCCTGGCATCAAGACCCAACAGTCGGAAAGAGCTCTCTCGGGGCCCCGCCCTCGACGCCCAGGCCCCGCCCCCTAGTCGCTTCCCATAGTTTCTAGCCCCGCCCCCAGGACCTCCCACCCTCTGAGGGCTGCACACACGCCCCCAGCCTGTCCTGCCCGTCCAGCCCTTGCAACCCTGCAGCCTCCAGCCTCGCCCCTAGCTCGGTGCTCCGCCCATCCTGCTCTGGCTAGCTGGGCGCGTTGCTTCTCTGTAGTTCTGAGCAGTCAGTCGTCTGTCTACCTCTGTCTCCTGAGTGCTGAGATTAAAGACAAGGCCTGCGCCACCAGCCATGTAAGATAACCGCCGTCACCCAGCCATGGGCCATTGAATCAGTTGCTTCTCTGGCTTTGAAAGTGATTTCTGAGTTTGGGATCGTGTCATAACCTAGAATATATTTAAGTAGGAAGGGGTCATCGGGTCATCCTCATCTCAGGTACACAGAACAGCTCGGGGTTTGTTGCTGTTGTCTTGTCAGATTTCTTAGTTCCACCTGCCCTTCGCATTGCCTTGGACTCCGGATCCTCTTTCTGCTTCTGCTCGAAAGCCTTCCTCACCCATCTCCTTTGGCTTTTTCAGGGGATTCTTCTTGCCACCCTCACCATCTAACGTGGCACCTGTGGCCCCTTCCCACCAGGTCCTCAGTGGCCCCAGCAGCTGCTTCAGGTGCTTCTCCATGCTGAGTGCATCTTTTCTCCGGCTTCCGGGAGCTTCTCCATCTTCATTTCCTTCCTGGATGTCTGTGCTGTTCTTTCTGGTTTAGTTTTGTTTGCTTGCGTTTCCTTTCTTTTGAGTCAGACCTGCTCTGACTCTTTCTCCTTCATCCTCTGTCTCTGCTCTAGTCACCGACTTCCTTAATGAACTCACCAGACGCACTCCTGCCTCAGGACCTTAGAATCTGCCTCTTCCTGGGCCTGGGGTTCGGTTCCGCTGACTGTTTCCTTCGGTTTTTGTTTTTTGTTTTTGTTTACTTGATTTGGGGTTTTTATTTTCAAGGCTTCCCTCAAATGTCACTATGAGGCTTATCCTGGCCACCTTCTTTAAAACTAGTCGCCTGATGCCTCCTTCACCCCTCGCTCCACACCCCCAAACATCTTTATCCTGCTGTTTTTTTTTTCCCTATCCCACACTTTTAGTATGCTAGGTTTTTGGTTTGAGTTTATTTCTGTTTGTTTTGTTTTTTAATGTGTATGGGTGTTTTGCCTGCATATATGTCTGTGTACCACATGAATGAATGCTGGGTGCTCTTGGATGCCAGAAAACGGCATCAGATCCCCTGGAACCGGAGTTACAGATGAGCCACCATGTAGGTGCCGGGAATTGAACTTGGGTCATCTGTAAAAACAAGTATTCTTTGACCACTGAGTCATCTCTCTAGCCCCTTTTTAAAATTTCAGTTTTAGAGATTTACAATGTGTGTGTGTGTGTGTGTGTACTTAATATGTGTACACGTGTGTGACATTGAACTCATGAGATCGGAGGACAACTTCCGGGAGCTGGCTCTCTCCTTCCCACGTGGATTCCAAGGATTGAACTCAGGTAATCAATCTTGATAAGCAAGCTCCCCTTTTTGTTTGTTTATCTATCTTGAGGCAGGGCATTATATAGACGCAGACTTAATGTGCAGCCATGGGCAATCTCAGACTCCTCACCCACTTGTTTCCTTCTGAGTGTGATTGCAGACATGGGTCAGCACACCCAGCTAGTGTGATGCTCTCAGGATGCCAGACAAAGACTCTAATGCACTACGCCCCTGAGAGCTGTCCAGGAGGCTGCTTTCTTTCTTTCTTTCTTTCTTTCTTTCTTTCTTTCTTTCTTTCTTTCTT